TGGACTAACAGATGTCTGTGTCATCTTGCCATTACTGGGAATATAACACAGATATTCCACAAGAGGAGCTAGTGTTCTTAACAGTTGGGTCATCTCTCTCACTCCAAAATTGTGGCAAATTTCGAATTATCATTATAGGATGATATAATTTAATATAAAATTAAGCTAAATGTTAAGAGAATATTTAAAATAATGTCTTGAAGTGACAAAATCCATGCTCCCTTCTTTCTAATTTTTTTGCCACTCAGCTCTATGGCCGCTCTAGTCTTCCGGCAGGTGTTCAATCTGCCCCTTTAACAAATGTCTTCTTGGATACCTATTGGCTTTCAACTGCTTGATGACATCATTCCCCCTCAGCCAATAAGCACCAGATAGAATTTTGAGGTTACCTTGGAAATAACTGACAAAACATTTCTCAGTGCAGAGCATCTTTTATTCAGCACAGACGTGGATCACTTAATGTGAAACCTAACAACCCGTATTCTCATCCCTTTATTCATACCCTACTCCTTTTGAAACCTACAACCCGTTCTCTCATTCCTTTGTCCCGATCTACTCCTTTTGGACATTGTTCCTGACTTGAAGATGTCAGGTAGGAAAAGAAACTTTAATATTTGTTTAGTTGGACAGCTCCCCAAATTGGGAAGGATCAAACAATGTGGGATAAAGGGGAAAGTGCTGAAAATCTGGTTGGTGTCCTAACTGTAATCTTGGATTGGTCGTTTTCTACTGTTGTGAATTTGGACATTCTGTTTCTCCCCCTATCACTATATGTACTTTTACGTGGTGAAAAAAACAGGATGGCCAGAATCAGGGCCTTCTGAGGAATTGAGTCTTTAGAACCATGCTATAGGGAAGGAAACCAGAGATTTCCTAGGACTGTTTCTAGCTGAAGCAGAGAAAGAACTGGATATGTAGTATGGACAAGTAAGGGCCATGATTCTTCCTTCTACCCTGGTTTCCACATTAGCATTTCCATGTTAGTGCTGTGGAGCAGTGCATTTGAGATGTCAGGGGAACTGCCTGCCACATCTGCCACTTCTCCATGATTGCGTCCAAGGTTGCCTTGGCTGAATTTACTGAATAGACATCTGTGTCCAGGTCTGGGATCAGTTAGCAACCTTTCTAGACCTGGGGGATATCAGTTAGGCCTGGACATTCATGGGAGAGACTGGGACTGTGTTTCATGTATGAGGCACAGGAGGCATCTGTCTTCCTTACTGTGATCTTCCAAATCAACTAACTCAAGGTAGTGTCAGTTTCCTAACTGTCTGGTCAAGTGTGTTCCATGAGCACTTGGGAGCTGTGGTAGCTGAGTCACCACCAGTTCATGACTGACACCCTCTGTTACATAATGAATTCCCAGAGAACATATCCTATAAAGTAAAGCCCTTTCCAAATTTAAAGGAATCTTTCTTCACGTTAAAATTCTTTGTAATTTTTCCATCATAATATTTTTGTTCATTATTTGGGGAATTTATTCAATTCATCTAATCAAACTAATTTCCTAATCCTGCCATTCCACCATGCCACACCTCTGTGCATCCAAAAAAGAAGCAAAGAAATGAAAAGAAAAGAGACTGTAGCAACTCTAATTGTTGTTGTCCATATACTCCTTGGAGAATTGTCTAAGTCTCACCACTTAAGGATAACTGAGTCCCTCCTTTACACAAAACTAACCCCTCCTCCCAGAACAATCATGGGTTTAGAACAACACTTTAGCACCTTTATCACAATTTATGGACTCTCTTTAGCGTCTCATTGTCTTGACTCTTTCTTTTATTTATTTTGAGGGAGGTAAAGTCTTCTGTGATAAGTCTCTCATTCTCAGTGATGAGTCTGCTGTCATAGGCACCATTGAAAAGGTACTTTCCTAGCTCATAACAGCCAGTGACAGCACCCAGCAGTGACTTCTACATTGTTTTAGGTGCGAGCATGGACTATGGAAACCAGCATGGCATTCAGATACAGGACAGTGTCTAGAGTTCTTTTAAAGAGGCCCAATTCATAAGGAAGAATTCTCCATCTCTAATACTGTGAGCTTCTGTATCTCAAGTTTCACTTCCCTCTGGTTGTGCATGGAGCTCTGCTCTGCTCTTTGAAACCTTTTTTATTTCAATATAATGACACTGTTTTTGAGAAGTGCCTTCCCCTGAGACTTGAAATGTTTTAGTTGTTTCTGAGATGCTTTTTGCTCTTTCAGAGTCATCTGCTGCTGTCTTCTCTCGCCTCTGTGCCTCTATGAGTCTCTCGGGCTCCTTGGAGCTGCTCCATGGTTCTGTAGATGCCAGTAGCCACTGCTATCTTGAGTTGATCTACATTGTAAATTCTTGGATTTTTATTTAATCCCTGTTTTTTCCATTGAAATTGTAGTCAGATTCTGGCTTCTACGTCATCTACTGAATTGCAGAATTAAAAACCTAAATTGCATGGCCATAGTGGTCACTATTTTAGAATTGCGTAAATTAACATTGATTCTTGGAGAAGCAAAGGATTTGTTTTCCTAATTATATATCTGATGACAGGCAAAATTTTTGAACCTTGGCTCATACACCAACAGAGCTATCCAGGACTTTTCACTGCTATGGACCCAAATGAGGTAAGTATCATGGCTGCTAAAAAGAAAGTTGTTTTCCTTGCAATCATATGGGGACAATTTAAAGACCTGGTGGCTTTTTCTATTTTAAGTAGTGAATCTCACTTTTACTCTCCCTAGTGATCATGTCTCACTTTTTCTTTTCCTTACCAGTGGAATTACAGCATACAGGTCAATACTAAGAGCTATTTGTGTTTAGAATTCATTGCGCTTCTGCTCTCAGACACACTGTCTCTCTAGAAAACTTTCAAGACAGGTTTGTGCAATGCTGTGCTCAATGGAGGTTTATTTGCTCCTGTAGCTCCTCAGGCTAAGTTCCTTAAGTTCCTAGAATCCTTATCCATCAGGAACTGAGATTTCCTTGCACATTGTCATGAAAAAGCTATCCAAGACTTGAGTATCACAGATACTAATTACATTATTGAGGGGACACATTCACAAATCCTTTTGTTTGTAGCTGGGATTGCAATTTGGAAGGCACGAGTTTACTCCAAGCTGGAGTGCTCCCTATTTACCATTGGTGATATCAGAAGAAGTCTATGCACAACCCTCTGATGTGTGCACAACCACTGATAGTACATTTCTCTAGAGGTTGTCTCAATAGACATTCTGTTTGTAAGATCTGTTCCTGAAGTTAACTGCTACGCATTGGATCCTTTTCAACCATTTTCAACCATAGTGAGGGATCCTAGGATGGGGCTATGATTTGTTCACTTAATTTACTGAGCTGAATCACTAAATGTGGTTCTTTATTTACTCTAATTTCATTATTGAAAGATTCTCTCTCTCTCTCTCTCTCTGTCTGTCTCTCTCTCTCTTTCCTTCTCTCCCTCATTCACACAGACACACTACACACACACACACACACACACAATATGTGTTTCATTTATTTATAGCTAGAATAACTGGATATCAGGATACCAGGAGACAGCTTCTGATATTCCCCATCTTCTCTTTTCATTTTAGAAATGGGGCGCCATCAGAACATACAGAGATGTTACTCTTCCACCCCAAGAACGTTTCCAAATTTTAATTCATGTGGGGATGAATATTGAGGTCAGCAAGAAAGTTCCATTGAAAATATATGTAGATATGAAGGATGACCTCATAAAGGTAGCAGCTGACCTCCAAAGAAAACAACTGGAAGAGGAAGCATTTGTGGAGTACCACAAATTTTTAACGTGAGTGCTGACAATTTCCATCTCCTTTCCTATTACTGACCCGTCACTAATCCTGTCCTCCTCTTCATGCTTTTGACCTGTGCTAACCTCATTGAACTTGACAAAGACATCTGTTAGTCAGATTTCTGTCAACTCTCACACATGCTTTTCCTTACTATTGAAAGACATGAGGACCAAAGGTTGTGGTATAACAAATATGGGATTTCAAGTGTAGTTTGTGACCACATGGCCCAGATTTTAGTTGTAAGAGTTGTCAGGTATACAGGATGTGTCAGCATAGGTGAGTGTGTTCCCTGGTCTATCTCCACCAAGGCATCCAGCCACAGCTTTATTGCTGTGTGTTGAAGAACCCAGAATCCTCTTGTCTTAATCATGTAGCCTATTGATTAGGATAAGAAACAGGTTAGCCTTTCCTGTTGCGAAACAGTCACCAGAGATTTTTGGACTACCTGGGGTCCAAGTGGCTCAGCACAGTTCCTGTGCTGTTCATTGTACTTGGGTAGGCAGAATAAATACAGAGTGGCAGAACTGTCACCTGAAATGACACTTATATCCTTAGTGACAAGAATGTTATATGCTTGAGGAAGGAAGGATGGTGAACGTCTCACCACTCATGTTTAGCCCCGAGTTTGATGAAAGACAACTTAAACACACATATGCAGGTGACTCTATGGTTCCCAGGCACTGGAGAATAATGTGTAGGCATGACATCATTGGTCTTTGGAAGACTGTGTGTGCTGAGTAGGCACATCACCATCTCTTTCTACAGAGGAAAAGAAAGCTCAGATTTAGACATGAACTCAGATACAACAGTTTACAGCCTCTGGGTGCAGTATCTCACTATGCTCCACTGCACAGCTCCCCAAAGCTCTATGTACCCCCAGTATCTCCTTTCACTATCTATTGCTCTCAGAGGTGAGGTTTGCCCTGCTGGGGAACAGTACACTATGCTGCTGTAGGAACAAACATTGATATAGTTATTGGGAGTGGAAGAATGAGAACACTGTCTGTATTCTACATGAAGTTCAGGAGGATGTTCTGTTTCCTCACAGTTCTGTGAGTTCATTAACTCTATCTGCTTTCTCCTGAGTATTGGGGTGACAAACAAGCACCATGTATGCTTTCATGTTCTTCTTGATGGCTGATGCTTCCTGAATGTACCAGCTGATGGAAGAGTGAGGACCATTCTCTCTCCAGACACTGGGAGGAAAAGGGATGTGGGAGTTCAGGATGTGCCTCTTCTCACTCCAGGAACTTCAGAAACTAAGCGTAGAGAGGCCATATTTCTTCAGGGCATTTGGGACTTTTCTACACACCATAGTCACTCTGCTTTTTTCCTTTAGACTCTTTGTGGAGAAACTCAGAGAAGGCCCAGAATACCTCAACTGCCTGTCCAAGGGAACAAGATCCCAAATCAACAAGGTAGGTCTTCATTATCTGTATGTCAGACCTAAAATCTCTAGAGCAACAGGGAGTTTCTCAGGTGGGTGGGGAGCTGATGCTGCCTCAGCATCACAGTACAGAGGAAAGGGGTTGCAGGTAAGGGGATTCAAGTCATTCATGAGATACTGGTGCCCCTCCCCACTTGTTTCTCCCCATCTTTTCTGACTTTAGGACTGTTCTCATTTTTTTCGGGTTTTGTGTTGCAGACTATAAATAGAGTCTTTGTCATTGCTGAGACTCTGAAGGGCAAACTCCTGACACAATACAATAAGGAGTATGAAGGTTACCTGGCAGATAAGGTCAGTGTGTAAGCATGAATACAGGATGTTTGTGTGTCATCTAGTCAGCCTGTGACCTGGGACTGTGTTGTGCTGTTTCTGTGAATCTGTGTTCAAATTTGTGCTCCACACTCACTTGAGCACACATGCACCTGTATCCATAGAAGCCAACCAACACTACACACACACACACACACACACACACACACACACACACACACACAGTGCATTAGGGGACTCATAACCTTGAGACAGAATTGTTACTTAGGACAACTATACAGTAACTGTGTAAGGCGGTGTTGGTTTTTTTCTTAGTACCAGGGTTATGAAAGAAGTGTGGACACTATGATGAGATGACAGAACTGATTACATCTATACTTTGTTTGTCTCTTTGCTGACAATTCTGTTTCTTCTGAGATTTCAAGTATGATAATACTCCTATTTTTCTTTCTAAAGAAAAAAAGAGAAGAGGAAGAGGCAGAAAATAAGGCCTTTTGGAAAGACTTGAGGAATACAATCAGAAACTCCAAAGATTTTGTCAAATGGAGCTCTCTGGTGGAGAGACTGGTGGACGGGGCTGAGAAAGATAGTGGAGAGGTCGGATCCAGCCTGGCATCAGCATCAAAAAGTGCTGAAGAGTCTTTGGCAGAAAGCACTCCACAGGAAGCCTATGAAGAGGTCACCCACAACACATCCTCAGACAAGCAGGGTGGAGAGACTAACATGATGGAAAGTCCAGGTAATTCACCACAGGTTCATGACTTGGAAAGACTCATGTGAAGTGGAATCCATTGCATCTGGTCAGCCACACACACTTGAGACTGCAGCTCAGCAGGAAAGAGAGGAGCCACTAGTGACCAGGTGTATGAAGTCCGGGGCACTGAGCAGCACAGAGCAAGATTCATCCCCTTTTCCTTGTCCTCAGTCTTTCAGTTCCCTGTATCCACTTTGCTGTGGTAACAGAACCTAATGTGATTAGTGTTGTCACTCTCCTTCCTGCCACACTGACTATCTTGCAATAATAGTCTTTAACTTAGTTTAAGTCACATCAGTTTCTTCAAAACTTGTTGGATTCATGTCCTCATCTTTTCAGTGCTCTGTAGAGATTAGAGGAAGCACATTAAGAAATACTGAATCGTCTCTCATTGTAAGGAATGTACTGTGAATTTTTAATTTCTAAATGACTCATCCAACAATGTGAGATGCATTTTCACTCTGAACTCTTTGGGGAAGGTCTAGGCCCTGTCCTGGATGAAATGACAGACTATGGACAGCCCCATGGAGGGCCTCACCCTCCCTGGGAAAATGAGGGGATATTGGGGTGGTAGGGGCATGGCACAGGAGGAGGGGAGGGTAACGGAGAGGGACCTGGAACTGACTTGTGAAGCAACCTTGTTTCTAATCTAAATTTAAACTTAAAAATAAATAAAAAATAAAGAAATCTAAAATCACAAATAAAAGAAATACCGAATCATCTCCCATTGTAAGGAATGTATTGTGAATTGTTAATTTCTAAATGTTGGACTCTCAGTTGATCTTATGATATAATGGAAAGATGTGAAGGCAAGAGAATTTCGGTTGTAGGAGGTTATGTTTTCTGCACAAGGGATACCTTAGTAGGAAATCCTCAAGTTGATCAGGGAGATAATGACACTGTGACTGAAGTGCTAGCAGTGACAGTGTTAGAAGCTG